CGATGTACTAAAACGAAACAAAAACTAAACGTTAGAGATCTTTTTTTAAAAAGTTAAAAGTTTAAGTATTAAATCATACCAAAACTGATAGTTTAGATACTAAATTTGTAATTTACCCAAGAATTATTATCGATGTACAAAACCATAATTTTATGTCTCCTTTAAATCTTTTTCGTAAAAGATTTTCTTTGCAAACTACGCTATGCTACATATTTATTGTTATATCTTTTGGATTATGCTACATTCAGAATTCTATAATCTTTGGAGGTTTGAAAAGTCTCTAAGGTGGTGTTTGTTTTTGTAGAGGTAAAAAGTCTGCAGTATGCGGACCACATCTGCAGGCATCTGCAGCAGAAGAGGTGGACCAAAAGTCTGCAATCTGCAAGAAGAAGACTGTTTGTTTTTTAACGTCTGCAGCCTGCTAAAATGAACTGAAATATAAATAAACTGACTTTTTAAACTTAAAAGAGTTTTGCAATACTGAGATTTAAATAATTTTAATTTTACAATACTGAAATTTAAATAATCCATACAACTACAATAATAAATTATTTAAAATAAATCAATCTATATTTTAAAATAAATCAATCTATACTAATAAATTATTTAAAATAAATCAATCCATACAACTACAATAATAAATCAATCCATACTAATAAATTATTTAAAATAAATCAATCCATACAACTACAATAATAAATCAATCCATATTTTAAAATAAATCAATCTATACAAATAAATTATTTAAAATAAATCAATATATACTAATAAATTATTTAAAATAAATTAATCCATATTTTAAAATAAATCAATTCATATTTTAAAATAAATCAATTCATACAAATAAATTATTTAAAATAAATCAATCCATATTTTAAAATAAATCAATCCATACTAATAAATTATTTAAAATAAATCAATCCATACAACTACAATAATAAATCAATCCATATTTTAAAATAAATCAATCCATACAAATAAATTATTTAAAATAAATCAATCCATACTAATAAATTATTTAAAATAAATCAATCCATATTTTAAAATAAATCAATCCATACTAATAAATTATTTAAAATAAATCAATCCATATTTTAAAATAAATCAATCCATACTAATAAATTATTTAAAATAAATCAATCCATATTTTAAAATAAATCAATTCATACTAATAAATTATTTAAAATAAATCAATTCATATTTTAAAATAAATCAATTCATACTAATAAATTATTTAAAATAAATTATTTTAAAATAAATCAATCCATATTTTATAATAATTTATTTTAAAGTAAATTATTTTATAATAAATTATTTTATAATAAATTATTTTAAAATAAATAACCTTATTAAATTATTTAAAATTATTTTAATAAATAACTATTTTTTATAATTGTTCTTGAAGAGGTTTGAAGACCTTTGAAGACATAAAACCAAGTATGCACCAAGAAGAGCTCGCGCAGACGTTTGAAGAGCTTCTGTCTTCTAAAAAACAAACAGTTTGCGAAGTCTAATGTCTGCGCGTGGTCTGCGCGACGCAGACATAAGTGGTTTGAAGAACTTGCACAGTGAAAACAAACACCACCTAAATGTTAATATCTTTTGGTTAACTATAATCTTTTGATATAAACATTGGCAGATTCGAGTAATCTATCATAATTATATAGGTTAAATGTCTTAATTATATTAATTCACAGTTTCATACATAATATTTAAAAATTATTAATTTCATACATGATGTTTTTTGCCGTTAACGGATTCACCCACTTCCGTCACGGAAAGTGACGTGAAACCCTACTACCACAACTCGTGACACTTTAAAAACATATTTTTTTAGGTAAATTACACCATTCATCATTCAACTATATTCTCACTCTTATTTTAGTCACAAAAATTTTAAAAAATTAATTTAAATTTGAGTTTTTAAAGTAAGAGTAATTCTATAGTTTAATAATTAAATTAAAAAATTAAACTTTTGTGACTAAAATAAGAGTGAGAATATAGTTGAGTGATGAATGGTGTAATTTACCAAAAAAATTTAATGTGCCGCGTGTCATTTTATTAGTGGTCGTAAGGTTTCACGTCACTTTTTGTGACGAAAGTGGATGAATTCGTTAACGGTAAAAAACATCATGTATGAAATCGAGAAGTTTTAAACATTTTATATGAAACTGAGAATTTAGTATAATTAATGTATGAATGGGGTATTTAACCCTAACGAAATATATTATCTGACATTCATATTTAGTTTTTTTTTTCTGTCAACCTATAGATAATCATTATAACACTAAGTCTGACACCAATATCAAAAGCTAATATACAAGTCATCATATATGGCCGGAGAAAAAAATATCTCCCATTAGTTCTGTCTTAATTTATTTGAGAATCTCAATTTTTTTTATTAAATTGGGTAAGTATAATATATTATTTGTTTAAGGATAATTCTCAATCATTTGACATTAAAAATTTACACTCCTGATATTTTTAGTACTCAAATCCGAAACATTAAAAAATAATAATAATTTTTTTACTACTTAGGTCGCTCGATTCATATTAATTTTTTTAAAACTATATAATTTATTATTAAAGTTGACATATGAATATAATTTATGGTAGCTTGTTTCTTTTTCGGCCGACATCTATTGGCCGACATGTACCCAATATATTAAGATCTCTGTACTGCCTATATTAATTATTTTCTTTGAAAAAAATGCCAATTTCTTCAATATTAAGGGGAATCGGGTAAATTTAACTTGCATGTTCCATGAAGCCAAAATGGTCCTCCAACAATAGAGTACTCCTTTATTAAATCTCTCACTATTATAATATGAAATGGTCCTCAGACTATAGTATATTACTTTGTTAAGTTTCTCGACTATTAAAAGTTATAAAATATTCACCGAACTACTCATATATTCTAAACTCACCCTTTTCCATTAAAAATTATTGATCGACTGAGCTGAACGTTAACATGATGAATGAGATATGATAGTCGTTTTATATTTCGGATCATATTTTATCATATCACAGTCAGCATATTATTATTCTGCTCAGAATGTCGACAATTTTTTAACGAAAAATGATGAGTTTGAAACATATGAATAGTTGGATGATCATTTTATAACTTTTAACAGTTAAATGACTTAATAAAGTAGAACCCTATAGTTGGAGAACATTTATTTACTTCACCCAAATTTATATAAAGTGAGACTCGAATATAAAGAAGTAAATGCAAATAATTATCTACACTATTCATGTCATGTAGTATTATTATAATTAATTCAATAAAATAAATGATGGCGCAGTTGAAAAAAATTGGGACAAGCATTATTTATGTCCCCATTATACCATGTTCACATAGAAAGCTACATTGTTAACAGAACACTAGCAAATATGTCGGCGTTATTAAAATAATAACCCTAAAATTTATTTATTTTTAAATGGATTCTCACACCAGATTTGTTAAAAAAATATCGCTTAAAATGTCCACGTAAGATAATCTTATGTTTTACGAAAAGTGAGGTTAGATTTCATGTTTTACAAAAAGCGATATTCATGCATTTTTGTTTGTTTTATTTGAAAATTTAATAAGTGTCGCTTTTTGTAAAATGTGAGATCAGATTTATGTCCCTCCCCAAATGGATAATGATGTACCATATACTCTTAATTGGGTGCGATAATTCTAAATTCGATACGAAAAATATACCACGAACAAAATATAAAATGAATTATTAACATAAATTATAATAAAATATATTAAAATTTATATAAATGTGTACAAAATAAGGGGTCCATTTTCGAAGACTCCAGTACCAAATGTAACTTACCATTTAATGCTTTTAGAGAGACATGCCCCTTGGATAAACTGTGTTTAGGATTTAAACTATCAGTTTTAGTTTATTTTGGTATATGAATTTTTTATTTTTTTAAAATCATATCTAATGTTTATTTTTTGTTTCGTTTTAGTGCTCCGTCGTTAAAAACTTAACGGACGGACTGGCGTGACATAGTTCTGATGGGCGAACGATCAATCTGAACGGTGGACTACGAAAGAATGACGATTCGACCAACATAGTCCAATTTCAGACCCATCATACGGTAGACCATGGAGATCATAGGATAAAGAAATCGAAGAGTCCATTGTGAATTTAGGAATATTGAGGCATTTTTCGGTAAAATAGAGGTCATAATCGTGTTCAAGAGGTTCAAAAGATACGAGCTGGAAAATTTAGACTTCAACTGCCAATATATACGAAGGTCAACGAGCCTGCCCGTTAAGTTTGAGCTGATTTTTTTTTCTCTTTTCTTATAGTTGCTAGATTAATCATTAATAACAATAAAACTGAATAAATAGTGGGAAGACTAAATGTTTTAAATAAAGATAATATAAATATTTAATATCATACACTTATAGTATGAAAAGTATATTTTAAAATAATAGGGTTGTGCATATTTAACCCTTTAATTCATAATTATCTTGGTTAATAAATATATATATTAAAATAATTTAAAATAATTACAATATAATATTTATTCAAAATCATTTTTATTATCTTATTATTAAAATGAGTCAATAATATAAAATGTGCATCATTTTATTTTTATATTTCTGACAAATATTAAATTGAAATCACTTACTCTATTTCTATACATCAAAGGTGTCCCTTACTTAACTTCAAAATCCAGACATGACTCTCTTTTCCAGGAAAAAGATGATTAGATTTGGCCACAAAATAGAGGGTAGAAATTGACTGTTGGGATCACATCACAACACATTTTAAAAACACAATTTATCAGCTTTGGACAAGTCACTTTCATCCAACCAACAAACCCTAATCTAAATCTAAGATGGGAACAATAATGATAAAGCATTAATTGTCTTAAAAACGTGATAATTAACCTAAGCTGACGTTGATCTCGGCTCCTTTCCCATGTCAGCACCTAATGACAACATAAATTTAGAGATAATGGGGAGAAAATTCCAAACTACTCTTTAAGTTTTAGTGAGTCCACATGCAATCAAGCTCGGTTGGACCGATTGACATCTTGCTACCACCAGCACCTCTGTAGTTAACTTCCCAGTCGACGGATGAGCCACCGTGAAGTGGCGGGGCCGCCATTGTTGGCTGGGGGAAGAAGACAGGGAGTGGCAGATTCTCCTCAAGAGACTTGAAGGTTGGAAAAACGGAAGCGCCTGCATGTGTCGAATACCATGGTATGTGATCAAAAGTGGTGGCGTTGATCATCTGGGGTGGAGGTGGTAACGCTTGTTCGAAACCTGTTGCGGCGGCCGCAACGGTGGAGAAACAGGACACGTGCTCGGTTTGAGCATAACTGTCGTAGGAGAAACTATCACGGTCGGCGGTGGCAACGGCGGTCGTCGTGGGATCAAGGAGAGGCGGAAGGGAAACCGATGAAGGAGAGCTCGGTTCTTGGTAATGCGCAACGGAGGCGCTCATCCGTGTCTTCTTGGCACCACCGACGGCGCTGGTGGTGGCACCGTTGATGGTGCAACTCTTCTGAAACACCCTGGATATCACCCATTCATCCTGGAACAATGCCAAAAAAAAAAAAAACATTGGAATAAGTGCAAGAGACATGAAATTAATAAGATTTTTCAAACATACCTTTCGACCTCCATTAATGAAACAACAGCGTACGGTACATAATAATACTTTCGTGTGTATGTTTTTATTAAGCTAAAATCATAACCTCCATGAACTTACTCCAAAAACCAGACGCCATTGCAGGTAGAACTGTAAATAGAGAGGTAAAACTCCAATATTACTGAGTACGACTCAAACTCAAACTCGAAATCTAAATTTAAAATTATATTCGAACTCGAAAAAAACATAAACTAAAAACAATCACTGACATGTTTTGCTTGAAGCTTAAGTTGGACATCAGAATAAACTGAAACCCAAGCTTAAATTTAAACCTTAAATACATATAAATCAGGTCAAGTATCAAATAGTTCACTTCGTATGGTTAAGAACTCGATTCAAATTTGATATCGAATGGAATCCATTCGAGTATAGTGATGATCAAGTTATAACAGAACCAACTCAATTAACTTACTATACGTCTCGTTATCAACCCTAATTGTAGAAAACAGATGAGAGGTGAGAACAAGAGAGAGAGACCTTTGAGCTCCTGGAGAGATAATGGTAAGCAAATTTGCCCTCGAGTCGATACTCATGCATGACCCAGTTGCTCTTTTCGCCTTTAGGAGCTCGACCACGATAAAACACCAAAGTCTTCTTCATCCCCAGAAGTGCACAAGTTTTCGAACTGTAAATCTCCCGATCTTTGCCAGTAGCTTTCCAGTAACCAGTTTCAGTTGCTCGATTAGTTCTCAAACCAGTAGGGTACTTCCGGTCTCTCAAGCTGAAGAAATACCACTCTTTCTCTCCCATCTTCGCCTTCCCTGCAAACAAAACACACAAAAACTTACACAAGCTGCAGATTAAACAACTAATATTATGTTCAGTGAATCACGTACCAGGAAGCTCCCATGGTTCGGACTTGTTGAGATCGACTTCAGCTATGGCTCTACTAGTAAAGCTACCATCAAGAACTTTCTTCAAAAGATAGTAAGTGATGAGCTCCTCATCTGTTGGGTGGAACCGGAAGCCTGGTGGTAACCGAGTTTCACCTTGGTTAAAACGATGAAAACCATCCATATCTGAAACCCTAAGCTTGAACCAGACAACTAAGAAAACCCTAAACTTCAAAAACCTCAAAAACTTAAAAAACCAAACTTTGTCATCCCCATGACACAATTGAGGAGGCGAGAAAATAGTTTTTAATATAGAAAAATCTTAGTTCTTTTTTTAAAGATTCAAATACAAGGATGATTATAAAAATATAAAGGGAAAAGAGATTGCTGCAGGGAATGGAGTATGCGTGCGTGTGTGAGAAAATGTGCAGGTATTCTCTGTCAGTGAAGAAAATGAAAAGGAGGGAACAGAAAGTTGTTTTATTGAGAGAGAAAGTAAAGGTGGAGATAAATTGAGGATAAAGGAAGGGGGAAGGGGTTTTCTTTTTTCACCATGGAAATTGTAAAAGAAAAGAAGAATGGATCAATAAAGCTGTTTTCATATCTCTTCCTGTCAGCACAGTACAATAATCAATGACCTATTTCCACCCACACCCATTGTCATCACACGCAACCTTTTGTTACATATGAAATTTTGTATTATTTTCTATAAATTTGGTACATTGGATAAGCGTTTTTCTCTATAAAAAAAATCACCCTAATAATACAATATTATTTAATCTGCACACTTTTTTCAAATATTACTTAATTAGTATGTTTTTGATAAAGAGAGAATAAAAAGAGTTTTCAGAGAACGCCTTGCAGACGTAGATGAAAGGCGTAGATTAAGAAATACGTTTTTCTGAGATTCTGTTTGAACTGACATCATGGTAGAAAGACGTAGATCAGGAGACGTGCCTTCGCAAGGAATTCTGACACGTGGTGTCCCATCCTCTATAAATACCGACGTTTTTATCAAAAAATTACCCTAACAATAAAATAACACCTAGTATAACATTTTCTACAAAATATTACTGATCTAATACCATTTCAGACAGAGAGATAATAAAATGTATTTCAGGGAACGCACCTTGCAGAAGCGGTCAGAAGGCGCAGATTAGGAAGCGTGCCTTCCTAGGGTTCTGTTCGAGCTGGCGCCATGATGGAACGGTGCAGAACAGGAGAGGCGCCTTCACGAGGAATTCTAACACGTGGGAGAATGCGTGGATTCAGTTTGATTGTATTTTTCATACAATTATGTCCCATCAATTTGGACCACAGACTTGCAATATTTCACAATATTAATGCAGTATGGTAAGTTCAAAAAAGCTGGTAGAATTGGCATCGATCGCCAAGCACTCGATCATTGTGATATGCATGACAAGTTTCGAAGTTGACTATTTTCCTAGGATTCAGTTTGTGCACTACGTTAAACCAACTTGGTAGTTCTTTTTAAGATGAATCCCACTCGTCGCGAAGTTTTTTAATGATATTCTGCTTTATCTTTCATGTTTTCCTGTAGGAGATGGTGTACTCATATTGAGACTATATAGTTGAAATCAACACCGTAATAACTATTTGGGAGCTTGCTTTGATCATTGGCATGATGGCTTGGCAAATAATGTCGGAGTCCAAGCTGGGATGGTATTGGTTGATCCGTCCATCACATCATATATGAGGATATTTGTATATTGTTAGTTCTCATATATTATTTTTCCTCTTTCTCTTCGATACACGAACCATCCAGTTGCATCCGTTATCACGTTTGAGACAGTGACATATATACTTTTTAGTAGTGGATCGGTCGACTTTGGAGTGAACATAATTACAAATGTTGTAATTCTTAATTGCAATCATCACTTCTTATTTGGATGGAAACTCTATTCTGATATATAACTCATCATTATTGACTGATGAGTTAAATCTGTACTCATCAATATTAGTCATATCCGTAAATTTTGGCCCGTGCATTGCATCATATATGCTTCATACATGTGTGTTGGAGGTTCAGTGTGTACCATATTTATAGGAACTTCATCTACATCATCATCATCAGAGTTTATGTTAAAATACAGTGATTTTGGCTCAATGAATACTCCAGTCTCAGCACTATATGCACCTAGTTCACGAAAATGTTCTTCTAGTAAAGATAAGTATTCCTCCGTGATGCTGATATTTTGGCCGAACAAGCTGGTAGTTAAATGTCTTCCCCTTGAACTTGAAGGCATCGTGTCATACGGGTTTTAAACTAACTGTTGTGTCGCAGACATCTCTACATTGAGGTTGAAGAAGCTCGCAGTTGAATGTCTCCCCTTGAAACTTGAAGGCATCGTGTCAAATGGGTATTAAACAGATTTCTGTGTCGAAGGCATCTCCATATTCAGGTCAAAAAATTGGCAGATGAATGTCTTCCCCTTGATATAGAAGCGATGTTGCCATAAGAATTGTTCATGGAGCCAACTCGGTAGAGATCGTACCAAGTTACTGATGAATGTCTCTCCATTAAACTTGATATGATGGTACCAGGATGTAGATTTACCATTAACGAGGTAAAACCATTACACATTACTTGTGTTGGGTTGTCAACTTGACTATCTTGTTGAGCTAGCCCATAGTGGGAGCATAATAACATACCACGAACCGCATAAACTTCAACAAATATGACATACATTTGTGTGACAGCGTCTGGATTTTGATTCTAAGCATCAACCATCATAGCAACATCGTGGAAGGGACAATAGTGGAAGGGACAATAATTGAAGGGGAATAATAGATGGCATGTCTCATGATTCGCGTCTTCCCCACATGTCAGAATTCCCCTCGAAGGCACGTCTCCTGATACACACCTTTCCATCGTGGCGCCATCTCGGATAAAACCCCAAGAAGGCGCATTTATTGATCCACACCTTCCGTCCACGTATACAAGGTGCGTTCCTTAAAACATGCTTTATTATCACTATGTCATAAAGATAGCTAGATCGGTAATATTTTGAGAAATGATGTCTGGCAGGTAATATTATACAATTTAGTTGATTTTTTGGTAAAACGCCACATTGGATATATATATATATATAATTTTATATTTTTTTCAATAAATTAAATAATAATATATTATTTTTAATCCCTTTGAACTCAATAAATGATATCAGTTATAAAAAATATTGCTATTTTTAAGACTCTGAATTTTAATAATTGTGTTTCTAAGAGGTATACGGGATAGAATTGCAAAATTTTATATTATGGGATAAACTTGAACATGAAAAATGTTAAGGGACGAAAACAAATTTTTAATAGAATATATATATAACAAATCTAAATTATATGATAATTTTAAATTTTCAAATGGGACGACCGCCCTTACCCGTCCTCACCTTCGTCTGTCTCTGGAAATGTATTGTTAAACTTTTGAAGGTATAATATCCTATAATCATCCTAGATTATTCAAAATAATAATAATAATTTTTATGATAATGTGTCATTATATAATTTGTTATATTATCTATGTATCAGATATTGATCTACTTTATTATATGTAATTAAATGTTGTAAAAATCGTGAGCTTTTAAGTGTTTAAGTTTGAGTTTAATTTATGTATTTGTATGTTTTTTTTGTTTAAATTCTATCTTGATTTAGGTTTCAACTTGTATAAGGTATATTCCAAATTATTCTGATTTATATTGAATTTTTTATCAACCTATTCATTTCTGTATTATAATTATTGTTTTTAGTTTTTTTTAGATGTTTTAATATTTTGATTAATCCAATTAAATTACAAAGTAGAATATGTTCTACACGCTCTCAATTATTTGACAATTAACACTCAATCATCATGTTGCAGTCGCTGGTGCTCGAACCCGTAACCTCTATGAACAACAACGATTCTTTTAACCAATGAGGTAAGTTGATTCGTACATTTTACTAATTAATATTAATAGTATTTGTATGGATATAAATTGATAAGAACTTTTAAAAGTAATTTATACATTCATGTTAAGTTGATTTTTTAAAAAATAATTTTCTTAACTATATTATTTCTATTATTTATTGGTTTTAGATATAATTATCTTCTTGGTTCTTTTATAAATCATGTGTCTTTTATCTATTATTTTGATTATATAATAAACAATATCACTTTATCATCAGTGTAATTGGTTTTTGTAAATACTTCTTTAATTAACATCAAGAAACTATAGTTATGTATTATATAATTACAAGGATCTAAAAAATTAACAAATGCATTTTCTTTCTACCTTTAATTTATCAAAATTAAATGATCATTCATACATAAATCTAAATTTTTTCGAATCAAGTTAACTTCGACTCGAATTTAACCCGTACGTAAATAAAGGTTTTAATATTTATAATCATTGATAGATTCAATTCGACTTAAATAGATTGATTTATCGTGAATCTTAACTTCTAATTCCTGAATTATAATCGTAATCCATAATCCATACAGTTTAAACCCTAAATTATAAACCAGGTAAAAAAAGTTAAAAAAAAATAGTAACTATCTTTAGGTAAACCCTAATAAGAAGTTAGAAAAGAACTATCTTTAGGTAAACCCTAACATTAAAAATTTCAGCAGCAAGTAACTAAGCAAAAAAAAAAAAGCAAGTTGGCTAAGTTGCTTCCCTTTCCCTTACTTGCTTTTTTCTTCTAGGCATGTGCCCTTGTTGCATGCTATCAAGTTGTTTTCCAATTGTTTTTTTGTCTATTTATTGATCAATCAAAGTTCTACCATTCTAGACATTGTTCTGAAACTATACGATCGACTGATCATTCTCTAGTGGTTCACCGTTCGGATTGGTCACCCATCCATTGGAACTATGTCATGTCAACTCATATGTTACGATTTTAACGATATGGGTGTTAAAATGAAACAAAAACTAAACGTTATGTATGATTTTGAAAGAAAAAATCAAAATTTAGATACTAAACATATAGTTTACCATATTTTTTATTTTCTTAAAATTTTATAAACTCGCACCGTAAAATTTTATATAAGTTTATCCTTTATCATAGAATTTTATGTTTGTCTTTAAATATAACCTAATTGTATCGTAAGATATTATAAATATATCTCATAACGTAAAATCTTATCTTCGTCTTTAGATATAATGTGTTCAAAAATGTCTGAAATTG